TGTATTAATTATCGCCCCTACAGTATTTTTTCAAACTCTTACCTTTTGTACGGATTTATTTAGATATTCGAACAGATCAAATTAATTTGCTCTGTATGCTGTGTAATTATTATTGTTAGTTAAGATTAATTTTTTCATGCCTAAAAACAAAATTAAATGAGCAACTGGATTGATAGTATCAATCTAATTGCTTATTTAATTTAGTACTGAGTTTTCCTACTTTCAAGTATTCAAACTGTATTATAATTTGTTATCATTTTGTTTAGTTAAGTGTTATTACTATGTATGTTGTCTATATATAGTTAATAGAACGCACCGTCATATGACGTGTTGCCGCTGATCAAAAAGCGTTGTTCAATAAAGTGATTGAGTGATCGTCGAGAAAATGGTAATATTTTATGAGAAATAGTCTATATTTCTCTTTTTTTTTATTCTTTTGCGTAAAACTAAAATTCATGCCAATATTTTTCCATGATTTATAATAATTGAAGTAATGCAAATGCATATTTTCTAAAAAAAGTCAATTTTTAGTGAAATTTTGCCGGGAATGGGGCTTTAATGGGTTAAAATCAAACGTTTTATTGCACAACTGCTCTGCTGGAAGCGTACAAATGCATGTCGTTGCCAAGTAGTTGCTAACGAAAAAATGTGAATTATAGGGTAATACGCCCGCGCGCGATCCAAACCACTTCCATTGGGATAAGTCATTTTACATTAATAGGTAGTTTTTAGTTTGCCGCACGACATTCCTTAACTTTAACATCAGTACCGAAAATGCACGCGATAGCTCACCCTTTTTGGAAACAAATCGGAGTACGCATGCGCAAACCCATAACTAACATACATTGAGCACATGAAATCCTGAAATTAACGTCATAATATGACGTCATCTGTTAACGTTGTGCAGCGAAAACTACCTATTAATGAAAATGTAGATTTTTGAACAATCAAAGCTTATAACTGTATTTATTGTACTTACTTGGTACTTGCCATTCCATAACAGGAATATTGACTGATAAACAGTTGACAAACACTGCTAATGTGCTTATACACAGAGAGAGATTGGAATACTGCTTTACAATTGATTTATAATTTAATTTCATTATTGTTTAACTTAATTTCCATACTTGCTACTTATAAATGTTAGTTTAAAGTTTAATATTGTGTATGGAAACTGTTCCTGATAAATTGATGTTTATCAACCTGGCTGTAACTACCCTCTGGAGGATACGCACTTGTTCGAAGTGAGATAGATCAAAAACAAATTAAACTTTTAAAAATCGTGGTAGTTTTAAAGTGCTATGTATTTAGACCCTTTAAAGTTATGTTTACCATCACAAACCACAGAATTTATGAAAAAATCGTAGGTTTTTGAAGAATCAAAGCTTCACATTTACTATGAGAGATCAACATGAAATAAAGATATTTGATGCATATAAGAACATTAGGGTGTACTGATAAGCCTTTTGTTGTGCACTTCGTTGTCATCTGTACATTTTATCACAATCTTTTGTAAAAACCACCATTTGGTTGAAAAGTGTATCATGCTGAAATATGAATTAATTATACCCTTTACTGATCGTATACACATGCCATGACATAATATTTTATTATAACTGAATTTTAACATTAAAAATATTTTATTGTAATGAGAACTTAAGTATACAGATTAAGTAATTCAAATATGTTTGAATTCAATTTTTCAATTTTTAGCGTGCCAGACAGTGCATCTTTTGATGTATACATTTTTTTTCAATCTACAAAGTTTATTTTATATCTACAACAAATGAAACTGTACAGTAAAATCATTTATGAGGCTAGGTATGAAGTGCTGTCTAAAATATTTCTAATGTACACTGGGCATCTGATCGTATACACATGCCATGACATAATATGTTATTATAACTGAATTTTAACATTAAAAATATTTTATTGTAATGAGAACTTAAGTATACAGATTAAGTAATTCAAATATGTTTGAATTCAATTTTTCAATTTTTAGCGTGCCAGACAGTGCATCTTTTGATGTATACATTTCTTTTCTATCTACAAAGTTTATTTTATATCTACAACAAATGAAACTGTACAGTAAAATCATTTATGAGGCTAGGTATGAAGTGCTGTCTAAAATATTTATAATGTACACTGGGCATGATATACATTTTTTGTTTGTAAATTTTTATCCATTTTAAGTCATTTAACTGTTTTATTTGGTATAAAGCATTGCATTGATTTTCATTTGGATAAATAAATGTTACTTTGACTTGGAAGATGTTTTTGTTGAGTGTGAATAATTCCTGTGCTGTAAATTTATTTAAACCCAAGAGACTGAGTGATTGGAATGCAGGCATCCTACCACCAAGTTGGAGTCCTCACAGAGAGACATTCTTGAATACAAATTAATCTTTACAATTGTAACATCAATTGTTCTTATATGTTAACACTCTGTTTATGCCATTTACCAAATTGTGAATATACAGTATCACAGGTGCGACAAAGGGAAAGATAACAGCGAGTTAATTATAGAGGGCGTGCTACTGGATGAGATGAACCAGGAAGTCCTGTCGAATGGGAAAACCCGCAGTCCGAACGGAAAACGTATCTTCCCAATATCTGCGTACAGTCTTCTACACAGGGAACAGGAATTTACCTTACAAAAAGGGGTTATTATTAGAGAAATAACGGCGCTAATGCACTTTAGTACTGTAACACTTCTATCTTCAAAAATTGTATTTTTACCTACTGTGCGCTACAAACGATATCTTACAAAAATTTTCGGCGCTAATGCACTTTAGGCGCTTGACGCCATCTTGTGTGTTTACAAAAATGAAAACGAACCCTGAACATGACCGTTGAACTTTTCAACTTTCTGTTTTTCGGTGACCTGTGCCCTCTACACGTTGAGACAGATGAGAAAATAAGGAAAATTTTGATACCAAATTGTCCTATATCATCGTAATTTTTCGGGGTTTTTTTCATACTTTTTTTTTAAATTATCTGGATTTTTGAAATACACAATACGCAATTTTCACACGACCTTGGAGGGCTAGGCAGAAAATTATGAATTGTGGATTTTACCTCGCGAGGTAGTTAGGCTATTTACGGTGCGTAGTGGGGAATGAAACGCGTGACTGAACGCGGCGAGGTGCCTAGGGGATTAGGCCTAGGCCCCCACGATGTAAATCCAAAGTTCTTCGTCAATAAATTCAAATTTAGATTTATTTTGTAAAGGAATAATTTGTGCTGATGTGGAGATGTGTTTGTATTCTGACTACTGACTCAGGATTGAATAATTTATTTTAAAAATTATTAATCAAAAAATATTTATAAAATAAAACAATAATTGGAAATAATTTTTTAATTTTTTTCATAATTTCACAATACTAAATAATAAGTTATTTAGAAGCATCTTTTTATTATCTTTCAATCGGTATCAGTCATTATTGTATTATTCCTCCAGAAAAAATGATATTAACCATATTTCTGACACTGAAAAAAAATTCAAAATCATTTCAAAAAATCAATTAGTCAATGGGTTACTGTTCGAATAAAAACCTAATGTAAGGATGAAAACTTGGCATATACAGTAGTAATTATCCTATGTGTATATTTGATTGTGAATATAAGTGTATAATGCAAAATTAAGGATATATTATAAAGTTTTGATTGTTTGACAGTACTATGTACTCTGTTGCTGATTTAGAAGTTATAAAAGCAAGGTTAGTTTCAAAATATTATTTTAAAAGTTAAAGAAAAGATTTGGTATAAGTACAGTATGTCATTATTTAATGACAATTAAATTAACTTTACAGGTTTCCTGTTTCTAAGTATTTATTGATTTTGTATGATTATATTTATATAATAAATTATTTTATTGTTATTATATTTATCTAAATATCAATAGATTCAACAACAATGAACATCAACAGATGGTATTGTAACAACAACAGTATTTCAAACTGTTAATGGAGATTTCAGCAAATGGAAGGAATAGAAAGATGTGGATGGTATGAATATTATAATTTCTTAAAATATGAATAATTTAATTTCCAAATTAATTGTCTAAATATTATATATTGCTGTTTTTATAATTTATTTTCATGACCTGTTTTTAAAAACAGAAAGAACAGAAGGATGTGGATGGTATGAATATTATACTCTCATAAATAATTTAATTGACAAATTTAACTGTCTAAATATTATTATTTTTTATTTTTATAAATTATTTAATGTTTCTTCTTGAAAACTTTTCAATATTGTACAGTTTGTGAACTAACCAAGCAGATACGTGAGCACGCCATGGCAGAAAACCTTGCCAAGAAGCTGAAACAGCCAGAAAGCCAACAAAACACATCTAATTCTGCATCATCTAGTTCTACAGCCGCTTCATCGGTAAATTTGTATTCATTATAATTTCAAAAATTACTTTGATTACTTTAGTTGATGTTCTTTTTAATTTTAATGTGTATTTTTTTTAGCTCTCAGCCTAATAAGACAAACATTGACTGAACCACTGGTTTAAATTTTTGCATAAATTTTGAACTGAGCTGGATCAGTCATTCTTAAATGTTTAATTACAGAAGCCATCAGAAGCAACTAGAAGTACAAGCTATACCAAACTTCCAGACGAAGGAATTCATAAGAAACTTGTTGCTAAACTTGCCGTACATAGCAGTTTCCATCCACCTACCCTATTTGGCCAACCATTTTCAAGAGCCATGCGTCAAAGAGCCAGATTTGGTCAACCACTTCAAACAGCAGATGTACTTAGCAGAAATGCTATTCAACAACAAAAAGAGAGTTTTATACCAAGTGATGTCACATGCATTTTGGACTATGCCGTTCAACTGACCTATTATACTGTATATCTCATAGGGTGAGTAAACAATTTTACTGAAAGTTACATTTGAAAAATATTGTATGTTTTCTTTTGATTTGACATGACTAGCTGGTGAGTGGCTAATTAGTCATATTGTGGTAAAAATGCCAGCCTTCCAGTCCCATGATCCTTTGTTATAATCCTTTGAGAATTAGTTTGAACATTACAATATTGGATATTTAAAAGAGCTCCAGAATATCAACTGAATTTGTGGCCTTAGCTTGAAGGGTAACCCTCTATCTAACTCAAATCAAACAATAAAAATAATTTGTTATGGTTGTCAGAGTACATGTATATAAGAATTCGTATATGATTTATATATATATATATATATATATATATATATATATAGTGACTGAATTTCTGGCCTTATCTTGAAGGTTAAATCTCTATCTAACTCAAATCAAACAATAAAATGAATTTCTTATGGTTGTCAGAGTACATGTATATCAGAGTTTGTATAAGATTTATATCTCACTTGTTAAGTGACTTAAAAGTAATAAAATCATTTTTTTCAATGGTCAGTAGTAACAGTGCTGATTTTAAATTGTGTCTTTCCAGTTTTTCCTTACAGATGGATCATCATACTGTGTTGTGTTCAGTGTGTTAGATGATTTGGATGCTCTAGCAAACCCAAGAGATTCCCTGCAAGTAAATACATCACTTTCTCTTCATTGCAGGTGTTCAATTAGCTGTAATTAGTTTTATTGCATCAATTAATCTCATACCGTTTTGAAAATAATGTGTCTATTTTTTACTTTTTCAGGGACAATTTGAAATGACAAATCTTCAGATGAATGTATTTTGGATGTGGTCAATATACGAACACGCTGTACTACCCTATCATGGAAAGACAGAGAAGTTAATCAACGGCATATCCTCACCCACGATCAGTTTAGTTGCCACACACAAAGACAAACTATTGGGGACTGAGTCAGAAAAGGACAAGCTGGTATACATTGTTTGTTTTTTAGTAAAATTACAATATTTTATTCTTAAATTCTTCAATAAATTTACTAATAATTATTGTCTGTTTTTTAGTAGTTACATTATTTTTTTCTTTAAATCTTAAAAACATTTACTAATACTTTCAATTTTGTACACAGATCACAACCAAGTTCAAAAGAATATTTGATGAAGTCAAAGGAACACCATACGAAAGTCATGTGGATCGCGAGATGTATGTTGTAGATAACACTGCGTATGGATGAAGGGATTGAGAAATTGAAGAAGAATGTCGGGGGATACATGAAGGCAATGGTAAAACCTATTCCCACTAGCTGGGTTGATTTCCAGTCCAAATTACAAGACGTTGGAAAAACAAGACTCCATGTTTCCTTAGATGAGGTAACATATGCTTCCATATAATAGTGGAGTTGAATAGCTTGGTGGTTAAGATAGCTTGCCGTCCATTCCCAGGGTCCTGGGTTCAATTCCTGTCAGTGATGCAGGATTTTTTTTCACGAACAAAACAACTCCACTCCCTAAATCTCATATTGAGATTTAGTTTGTGTAAAGCATCATGAGTATGTTTGTCTTGTGAAAGTTTGGATTGTCACCTACAAGTAGGACAGTGATATATTCGCTATTGACAATCCTTGGCACATGTATTGTGTGCCTAAATAAATAAAAAAAAAAAAAAATAAATGTTTATAATTGAATAATATTTGAATAATATTTGATGAATATGATTAGAATTACACAAGTACAGATCCACAAGTCCAACGCTACCCATCTCATAAATTTTTTCCTCTTGTATCCTAATCCCCCCTCCCTCGTTTGACAGAGCTTGTCGGGCAGTGAAACCATAAAAAATATATAAATAGGTTCACATCATGCCAAAACATGTCTGTCACAGTCTTGATAGTGCTATTTCCAGTTATTCAGAAAATTTATCTTAGAGCCAACACTGATCTTGCATCCTTTGGGTCTCTATTGTAGCATTTGTTTACCTTAATCAGTGTGATTCAGTAAAAGTGATATTCCGTCATCTTATAGTAACTGAGTAAAGATGAAGGACAGTTTGTCGTGCGTAATGAAACGTGGAATTCTCTTTTCATTCAACATTTTTAAGGTCGCGAAAATTGCATCTGAATGTGGAATTTCTAAGCCAACGCTCAACACTGTCCTCGATTATCTAAATGACACTGGAATAATTCTGTACTCTAAGACTAACGAGAAGTTAAAGTACACAGTCATTACGAACTTGCGCATGATGATCGACGTTGTGACGAAAATCATCACAGTAGTGAAACCAGATGATATTGACAAGGTAAATAATCTCCTATAAATATTTTTTTTAATCAATTTTATGATCTTTACAATTATGGTGAATTGCATGCATTTTATGTGTTCATATTTTCTTGTAGCTGCCTATACTAAAGCAATGGTATAGGCTCGACCGTGAGAGAATTCTACAAGAACAATTGCTACATCATTTGTGGCGACATGAGATAGCGAAAGATGCCACAAATGATCTGTGATTTAATGAAAATTGATTACTTTAAGTGGTTCCTTTTTAAATGATCTATTCAAATTTATAGTTTTAATTTTTCGATTTAAATCGCATTACCATCACATTGGTTAATTTTTTGTCCTCCGTCTTTATATATATTTCTGCATGTGTTTGTTTACTGAATGACCTCTTGACAAAAATCATCACAGTAGTGAAACCAGATGATATTGACAAGGTAAGCAATACAGTCAACAATCTCATATAAATTTTATTTTTTATGTTGCTTGATGAGGAATCACATGCATCTTATTGCTCATATTTTCTTGTAGTTGCCTACACTGATGCATTTATGCAATACCCTTGATAGTGAAGCAATTCTACAAGAACAGTTGCTCCGTCATTTGTGGCGACACCAGAAAAAGAAAGATGCCAGCAACTTTGAGGTGTTTATAGAACTGATGAAGGTGTTTGGGTTGCTGTTTGAGAAACAAAAGGTAAGCTGGTACTTATGGTTTAGCACATAAACTCTTTCATAATATGTGTGTGCATACTGCTTGTACAATATTTATTATTTTTACTGTATATTCAATTAAATTCAATTTTATTACGCTTCAAATGACTTCAAGGGCCAGTATCCGCTAAGAATAACATTCACAGATACACACACCAAAAAAATTATGAAATATATACAGTATAAACATAAATAAATTTCCAATAACTTTTGGGCAAGTTTAATAGGAGAAGGCAAATAGACGAATGAAATTGTCATTTGCTGAGAATGTTTTTGATGAGAATGGGGAAAATTGAAGACTGGTGAACAGAGAGAGAGAATAGGCAAGCCTCAAGGAGTGTGGAAGAAAGGAAGGAGCGAAACGGGATGTGTGACAAGGAACGGGAAGAAATGAAGAGTGTCGGGAGTGGCGGAGAGACAAATCATTATTTTATAGGACTTGTACCCAGTAGCGCACATATTCATTTCAGAAAAATCCACTGAAGTAGCTTTTTTTTATTGGATGCAGTATAAATTATTATTTTATTTTATTTTTTTATTTCTTATTTCACATCCAACAGCGAGTAAATTGCGCCACTTACAGGATTAGAATGATGCTTTATAAGTCTCTTTAAGGCTTAGGCAGTTAGTTTGTTCGTGAGAATAAGTCCTGCCGTGACGGGAATTGAATTCAGGACCCTGGGATCAGAAGGCAAGCATCTTAGCAACTGAGCTATTCAACTCCACTCCAAAATTATGCACAAAGTGCCACCTGAGTATTTTGTATAGTTATACATGTGATTCTGCACTACCAATTATATTCCAAATCACTCACCTCATACCAGGTAGGCCTACCTATTCATATTCCTGGGTGAAAAGATTCAAATGTAAATAAAGTGTCTTGCCAAGGACACAAGCAATTTGACGAGACAAACTCTCTTTCCAAAGCTTTACTGCTGCACCGATATGCCTCTGCTTCTGTTTAGTGGTTCCTTCTGTTACCTATAATTTTCAGATCTTTTTGAGATTCATAATATGCTACATCAATGCTCATGTTTTCAAAGGGATCTCAACCTGGTAACCGAATGTTCATGGTTCCCACTCGGATGCAAATCAATAAAGAGGGCTTGGAAGTTAAGGAAGATGAGCAGCAAACGGTATCGATTTATGTGACTCCTACAGACTTCCTACCAGATGCTGTCTACAATCTGCTGGTGGTTTCGTTTTTAGACTTGATGAATGACAAAGGTAGGAGTAGTGATCATGTGGAATTGTTTCGGAATCGTAGTGACTTTGACTTAGATGATGAGCATGTAGTGAGTCTAGGAGCTGTCAAAATCAAGAACAGGCATGCACTGAAGGTAAGATACAATGTTGAAGGTTAAGCATAATTATTATTTTAATGTAATAAAACGGATGCAGTATAAATTATTATTTTATTTTATTTTTTTATTTCTTATTTCACATCCAACAGCGAGTAAATTTCGCCACTTACAGGATGAGGATGATGCTTTTAGTCTCTTTAAGGCTTAGGCAGTTAGTTTGTTCGTGAGAATAAGTCCTGCCGTGACGGGAATTGAATTCAGGACCCTGGGATCAGAAGGCAAGCATCTTAGCAACTGAGCTATTCAACTCCACTCCAAAATTATGCAAAAAGTGTCACCTGATACTTCTCTGCCTGGGGAGTATTTTGTATAGTTATACATGTGATTCTGCACTACCAATTATATTCCAAATCACTCACCTCATACCAGGTAGGCCTACCTATTCATATTCCCAGGTGAAAAGATTCAAATGTAAATAAAGTGTCTTGCCAAGGACACAAGCAATTTGACCAGACAAACTTCTCTTTCCAAAGCTTTACTGCTGCACCGATATGCCTTTGCTTCTGTTTAGTGGTTCCTTCTGTTACCTGTAATTTTCAGATCTTTTTGAGATTCATAATATGCTACATCAATGCTCATGTTTTCAAAGGGATCTCAACCTGGTAACCGAATGTTCATGGTTCCCACTCGGATGCAAATCAATAAAGAGGGCTTGGAAGTTGAGGAAGATGAGCAGCAAACGGTATCGATTTATGTGACTCCTACAGACTTCCTACCAGATGCTGTCTACAATCTGCTGGTGGTTTCGTTTTTAGACTTGATGAATGACAAAGGTAGGAGTAGTGATCATGTGGAATTGTTTCGGAATCGTAGTGACTTTGACTTAGATGATGAGCATGTTGTGAGTCTAGGAGCTGTCAAAATCAAGAGCAGGAATGCACTGAAGGTAAGATACAATGTTGAAGGTTAAGCATAATTATTATTTTAATGTAATAAAACTGTCTGTGTAGAATTATGTTGTAAATAATATATTAAATATATAAGTTATCTATGTTTAATATATAAACAGTTACATTTACATTTATATATAGGTTATACATTTGTATATTTAATGTTATAATACAGGTATTTGTAAGCCTACATTGCTTGGTATGTCATGCTATTTTTGTGCCAGTAAAAGCATTGTCAGACCAGGCAGCTCAATGTAATTTTATTGCCAAATAAATTGTAAGTTGAAATACAGCTTAGACCTCTATGTCATCCGGAACAACTCTTAAGCTAGGCAACCAGTGCACCCGGTGGATTTCAGACACAAGCCGTGTGCACCAGATCACTTTTAATGACGATCCGTCCACCAACAATTAGCAGGCGGCTTCGCATTGCAGTGCTCACAGGGAACGAAGTTGGATTTGTAGTGCAGTCCGTGCCAAGCTTTAGATAGAAATTTGTGTATTTATATTTATTTATTTTACTGTATGTGCATCCACGACCTCTTTCCAAAAGCAACCCATTGACTAATAAAATATCCTGTATGTTGTCTTATAAACAGATTGAAATATCACATAGGATAAAAGTTGATGAACATGGCAAAGAAGAACCTCTCGAACCACATCCTAGCATCTGCATGGAGGTAAGCTTCCGTAACCAAATTCTGTTTATTTTTGTCATTTTGTAGTAGTTTGGTGCAGCGGATGTGGTTCTGCATTTCAACCTTGAGGTTAGAGGTTCATACCCCTGTTGTGCATTTCACTTGTGTCTTTAGGCAAGGTACTTTACCTGTGGTTATCTCTTTCCACCAAAGAGTACAAGTAGGTACCTGGTGGGTTCAAACACAAAATGCGCTGAATACAGATGAAATTTAATTAGAAATTAAAAGAAATAATGAACATCTTTATTATAATTCACTTTAGTATTGCTTCTTTTAAATCTTATTTCTCATGCCAATGGAATTAGATTTCAGATTTTTACCAAATGCTCAAAACATTTTTAATTCAAACTTTGCTATAAGTTTTGAAAATCACCAGTTTTAAGTGAAGGTGTTTTACTTAATGTGTAAGGAATCAAGATTTTTTGTGGATTGTAGTGAGGAGTGTGCGTGGGTGTGCAAAAATCAACCAAATGGGGTAGGAGATTATAATCCCTGATATGGTCAAAGAGAACAGCTGTTTGGGTCATAGCTTCAGTGTTGTACGGCGTCCAATGACTTTATAATCAACTTTAGCCTTGTTCGCTGTGAAAAGTATTATACTGTGGACTAATTTTACTATTTTCCTTTATTTTGACGATCTGAAAATGAATTGACTGGTCACCATTTAGGGGTCTTGGTTGCATTCCTAGAATGCCTACAAAATTGACATTATATACACCTTGCATATGCAAACATAAAAATTGTTCAGCATAATTTTATTTGATTTTATCAGGTATTAAGCTACCTTCGATAGCAATTGAAAACTGTGTATGTTACTACAGAAGGAGTTGGCTATGAGTTACGTGTCCTTTGTAATGCCTGTGAACCTACGCTGCGACCGCTGCATAAACTTGAGGAATGTTTGAAAAAAGATAGTGTGCCATGTGGAAAAAAAAAGTTAGTTACAACAGCTCGTATCAGATGACATTTTTCAACAGGTTGGTGTAAAAATATAATTTGTTTATGAAAATGGTTTTATATTTTATTTTGGAAACACAATGGTTGCTAAGATATTAATTTATGTTCTATTGAATAAATGAAACATTTAAAATTTAAAATATGTAATTGTTATCTCATTTATAGTGTAAGTCAGAATGCTGTACAAATGCTACAGGTTTCATTAATTGAAATGTATGTAAATACAATACTTGTATGTTTTAGTGACAGATGCAGTGGTTGGGGGTTGAAAAAAGATAAATCATTCTTTCCTACTACCACTCACTTCAAATTTTAATTTGGGAAACACTCTAACATAACCCTCTCTCTTGGACCATAAATATATTTATTTGTGCTTCCCACACCCGCCAAAAACCTTTTGACTCCACCTCTGATGTATTCAATTCTATCTTTCATTGCGGTGGAAAGACAATTCGGAGGTCATAATGCTAGATGAGGAGTGTCATTATGTATAGAAGTGAATATGACAATTATTAATTTTAAAAGCCGAAAATGTTATGATTTTGCTCTACAGGTTTTGATGATAACTCTACACAAGGAACCCTGAATTTTCTGGCACTTCAGACATTGATTGTTGGTCGTGGAACCAAAGAACTACGGAGGTACTTTCTAGACAAAACTAACCTTACCAAACCGGAAGTTATACCATTTTTGACAAGGGAGAGGTATGCATTACTAAAGGATGTTGATTTTGGAGATGAGGCAACAACAGTTTTGTCATCAACCAGCAATATTGTTGCATTCCACATGGAAATCATGATGAAGTTAATTCGCTACTGTTGTCACAATACCAACACAGAAGACTGAGCTGGCAAATCTTGTCCGCATCTATCAATATAAGAAAACTGTTCTAGACTGCAGTTATAGCAACAATGTCACAAAGGAAGTGTTTGATAAGCAATGGAAGGAACTCACAGCAATTTTTACAGGTGTTGGAGTTCCTGTTGAAGACATTGAGAATTACCGCAACCCATGGCATTACAAGGATGGAGCCTTGGAAGGTAAGTAACTAGTCTTATTAATAATAGCTGCTGCTGCTGTTAATGCTGATTCTGCTGCTGATATTTCTGATGAAGATGCTGCTGCTGATACTGAGTTTACTTCAACCTATTGTGATTCTATTGCTGATGCTGATTCTGCTGCTGGTGCTGGATCTACTGCTACTGATTTTGTTGATGTTGCCGATGCTCATTAATAATAAATAATATTATTAGATTTGTAAAGCCTATCATGCAAACAAGCCTCTATGTGCATGGTGATTGAGCCAGTTGAGGCGCCAGTATTTCCCAGATCGGCTTTCCAAAGTCCATGACGAGAACAAAGGGGGTGTGGTCGGGTGTTGCTAAAAACCATCCAAAACAGTCCAAGTGTCGAAGCCCCCAAAAATATGACTATTATTTAGAGGTTTCAAAGGCTTATATAATCAATTTTAGAGTCTATTGATATGTAAAAAATACATAATAATTTTTTTCCCCAATAATTTGTGGTTTTCTCCCCAATGGCAAAAGACTGGACGCAGTACAGTATATAACTTTGTATCCATGACACTATTATAATCTAGTACTACACTTAAATCTGCAAAAAAAATCGACTAATGTCGCTGCTACTGATGACAGTGATGCTGTTTCTATTGCTGATGATGCTGATTTTTTTCTGCTGCTAATACTGATTCTTCTAGTATTGATTTTGCTGCTGATGTTATTGCTGCTGCTGCTGATTTTGCTGATGGTAATGATATGCAATAAAATCTAAATGAAAGTTGTGTATTAAAGGCATAATTGTAAATGTGACAAATTGAAATTTAATAAACTTACTCTTCCAAATTATTTTAATTTTTCATTTCATTTTTGACCAGAAATAGGTATTGGGCACACTGTCATTGAAAAAATCAAGAATTTCCAGGCTGTGTTATCGGCTGTTGTTGATGTTGGAACTGCAACCATGAGAAATTACATATTGGAGGTTAACAAAATTAACAAGAACGATGTTGGGAATTATCTACTTTCCGAGAAGAGAAAGGGTAGCTTTAATAAAGTAATGAAAAATATCAGTAGAGAGCAGAAGTCGAAAATGTTCACACCATCTGCTGACATTGATACTTTTGATATCTCCATCATGTATTTAATAATTCAAAACTGCTCCAATGGCATTCCAGAGTCATTTTGGAAAAATCCAGATAGACTGATAAAATTTGGTGCACATCCACGACTACAGGAACACAAAGCTGGCACATTCCCCCGACAGTATTATTATTATTATTATTATTGTATACTTATATAGCACATATCAAACTTCTCTATGCGCTGAACATTATTACCCCGGATCACTGGATCAAGCACATATGGAACACACACTCAGGCCCCAGTCTCTTATACACATCTAGACCCCATAGGGGAATTCCATAATGTTGCAGCTGTATTCAGCGCAGGCTGTGTTTGAACCTACCAGGTACCCACTTTTACTCCTGGGTGGAGAGAGACAACCGTAGATAAAGTGCCTTGCAAAAGGACACAAGCGACTTGCACAGCGAGAGTTTTGAACCCCCGACCTCGAGGTTGGGAGTCCAAACCACAACCGATGCGCCAACCACTTCTACAGTAGGATGTCAACTAAAGAATTTGAAATTGAATGGAAGAAAGTGAGATCGATGTTGCATGCTGCAGGTGCTTCTTTAACTGACATTGACAAATATAAGGCACTAAGATTCATCAACTAAATGCACATACCTACTTTGTTATTTAAATTGCTGTTGTTAAATATGAATTCATGTATGTTTGTTGGATTTCTGTCTATTCACATGAGATGTGAACATTTTAGCACCGAGCAATATTTCTGATTTTTTAACTAGTTTGGTTTCAGAGTGCTAGACTTCAGTGACCAGGGATAGCCTGCCATGAGTCTTTAATTAGACATCCATGTACAATCACAAATTTACTAATAAGTGCTCGGCTACCAACTGTACAATGTAGCCTGCAGTGTCATAATTATAAAAAAAATGACAGTAATTAATTTACCAAATATACGTAGCATTGTTTAAAAATTACATAAAACTTTAAATGAATTTATTTACTTTAGTGTTTTAATAAATTTAGTGTTTTAATATGTGCTGATACAACAGTACATATTAAAACACTAAATTTATTTACTTTAGTGTTTTAATATGTACTGTTGTATCAGCAGCACTTAATGCTTAAGCTTCCTAAATTTATTAAGTGTTAATTCATTGTACAATATTAACGAAAATGTAGGTTTTTGAACAATCAAAGCTTAATACTGTATTTACTATTAGATTGAATATCAAAAACTAATGAAATATTTTTAAATTCAGGTTGTTTTAAAGTGCTGCGTATTCTCATTATAGATAGAATTTAAGTAGGTTTGAAGAAGAATCTACATATTCACCAAGGAATTTAGACCCTTTAAATTATGTTTAAGAATTTAAGAATTGATATCATACAGGGGTACATTTTTATGGCACACACTTTAACAAGACTTTTGATGGAACAAGATATTTGATGCATGTAAGAACATATGTAAGTAAGCAGTATGGTGTTCTGATAATCCTTTTGATATTTTGTTGTGTGTTTTACTGTCATTTGTACATTTTAGCACAATCTTTTGTAAAAACCACCATTTGGTTGAAAAGTGTTATGCTGAAATATAAATTGTTTTGTACCCTTTATTGATTATATACACATGCCATGATATTATGTAATTATAACAACTGAATTTTCACTTTAAAAGTATTTTTATTGTAAATTGAGAAATTAAATATGCAGATTAAGTAATTCTAATATATTTGATATTCAATTTTTCAATTTTTAGCATGCCAGACATTGCATCTTTTAATGTATACATTTCTTTTCTATCCAGAAAATTTATTTTCTATCTAAAAGTGAAACTGTACATAATGTATATTTACAATGTGTTATTAAATGGAAGTAAAATCTTTTAGGAGTCACTTATTTTGTTTTAATATAAACTATTCTGATGAACTAGAGCAAGAAACAAACCATGCAAAAAAAACCCCCTTTTCATAGAGGGTGAACCTTACAGCTTATTCTAAAAGGCTGGCTAATATTCAGGACCCTCTTAATATAAAATAATGTAAGGATTATAATGTCTTTAATGAGGCTAGGTATGAAGTGCTGTCTAAAATATTTCTAATGTACACTGTGGAAAACCAGTTTGTAATATTTTGATATACATTTTTTGTTGTTTTTTGTTTGTAAATTTTTATCATTTCAAATCATTTAAACGTTTTACTTTGTATAAAAGCAATGCATTGATTTTAATTTAGATAAATAAATGTTACTGACTTGGAAGATGTTTTTGTTGAGAAAAATTCCTGTGCTGTAAATTTATTTGAACACAAGAGACTGAGGGATTGGAATGCAGGCATCCTACCACCAAGTTATATCAAGTTTGAGTCCTCCTAGAGAGACATTCTTGAATACAAATGCCTTTTCTAAATTGATATTGAATATACAGGTGCGAAAACAGTGAGTTAATTATAGAGGGCGTGCTATCTCGGACAGGAAAAATTGAGAAGATCGAGGAACCAGGAAATCCAGTCGAATGGGAAATCCGCAGTCGAAGAGGAAACGTATCTTCCCAACATCTGCGTACAGACTAAACAGGATTTTACCTTACAAAAAGGTGTTATTATTACAGAATTAACATGTGAGTGTCTAGGGCCCATAATCTACTGCTTAGTCTACGCGTAGGCTTATATTATTACTACTACTATCTAGCTAGGGGGGGGGGGGCGAGGCCACTAGAACTAACTGTACCAACCTAGGCCTATCTACGAGAGGCTAGGCCTAGTTCCTGGGCTAGGATATGTGCTTAGATTAGATAAAGGCTTAGGCCTAGGCCTATCCCAGCCTCCCGGTCATGTCCCTAGGTCTAGGCTAATTAAGGCTTAAATCGTAAATCGGCGGGATTCGTAAAATAGAGGTTGGGTTAAATGTGTGGTAACCTTTGACCTAATACGTACGTAACACTCAATATACGTATGTATGAACAAACGATGTTACTTATCTAGGCTAGACCTAGCCTCTAGGCCTAAAAATAAAAACACGTGTTCAGTGTTTTTATTCATTAATTACTTTACGATGTCATAATAAAGTATTCAAATAAAACCATGTGTCTACTGTATTAATTCATCACTTTATGTAAGATTACCTATACGACAAAGGTATAACTTGGTAATCCCCTTCATGCCTTTTCTAAACACCAGACAAGTTTTTCCATGGTTTGCCACACGAAGCTAAGGAGGAGAGCAATTATTTTGAGCACCATCGGTAGTTGTTCATCTCACTCAGTTCACGAGGTTTTAGATTATAACAACCCGGTATTAGACTCAATCAACGTCCGCATGTCGCGCTAGCCTTATCCTACTCTGGCCTAGACTAGCTAGGATGGTATAGGCCTAGCCTTGAAAGGACAAAGGTCCCAATGAAAACATTGTCGCTCTTTGATAGCTAACATTGTCTATTTAACATCACAATAATTCATTATTAGACCTATAGTTGTTTTTTGAATTGTACTCCACAAATCTCAGCCAAGATACCTCGCACAACTGGCTAACGTCTCTATCTATTGTCGTGACGTCATGGCTCGCTGGCTCACTCTTGTGATATGTCTCGCACTTGTGATCGAATAACACGCTGGCTTGCACTTTGGCAACACTCTTTGGTAGTCAACTCGCCCCTAGAAAACCCGCCCTTGGAAACTTGCCCCATAAAAAAAATGTACACTTCTTAGACCATGCAGTCTTGAAAATAAAAATTGTAACCTTTGGTAATCAACTACATTTTCCACATACATAGACATTTTTGAAACTTTATTAAAGAAAACCTAAACCATAATTCACCACACTATAGAAAAATTACGACTTTGTTACTCAATGTGAAGTGTTCTAATAGAATTCGATCCAACTCGGCCACAAGTCAACTCGGCCACATTAGCCTGTCTCTTATACACATCTAGATGTGTA